AGAAAAGATAAAGGTGACAGGCGGAGATTGTTGACAAACCATTGCCAAGGCCTCTGACAAGCCGTCTGTAGTAGAGCAGACCTTTGCAAATTGCAAGATGCCCAAAATAACACCTAAAGGGTGCACACAGAAATAGGAGACACAAACTGGTTTGCACAATTCATGAAGCTAAAATGTCACGGGTTGGTTCGCCGAGGGGAGACTGCAGGGAGGCCGGGACTGTAATAGGAGGAAGAGCAGATCGAAACAGTCGAGAGACAGATGAGGAGAAGATCTCCTAAATGGCAACTTAGCCCAGGTGAAGAGAAACTTGGGAAGAAACATTTCAAATGAACTTAATGAACTCAATAGAAATGAGTGGGAAATTCTTCTTGATTTATTTGCATTAACAGTCTAACATTAAAAATAGCTTCCCGAACTCTGTGCTTTTGTTTTCTTGATTGTGCCCAACTGCATAGTGCTTGGCAGTTGGGTTGTGTGGTTCTAGTCAGTCGGGTTAAATCAGTAAACTGCTATTCAGTTAACCATGGGTTATGCAAACACAGCCAGAGAAAAGGGGGTTCAGCATTGCCCAACCCAGCAACCCACAAACTGAAAAGTTATTTTTCCAAATGTGCACTCTGAAATTCGCAATGGTAGCTGTTTTGTTTTTAAGTGCAAATATGAGAAGTAATTTTCTTTAACGTCCACTGCTTCTTCCACAAAAACGTGCCCCATATTTGAGAAATTTCAGGAGCATTCTTCTATCCATTTCTGTGTTATCATTTGCCAATTATATGCAGGTACTGGTGCACAAGAAGCTTCTTCTCTGACTGAAATTAATAGAGCTACAAGCACCTTGCTGGCAGCAGGCCACGCTGTAAAGAAACCAGTCAACAAGTGGGTAATAAAATGAAATCACCCTACACATCACAGCTGCCTTTTCAGCTTGAACTGCAACTTTTAAGTTACTTTAGCTCCATTTGTAATTTGAATTTATCTTTTCTCAACTTGAAGATGACTGGTTACAGCGCTGCTATTAATTAGCATGCGAGGGAGCCTATCTTTTGCAAAGAGCTTTTTCGCTTTTGTGCCAAGTGACTTTGTCAGCACGCTTTGCAAGGACAATTAACAAAAGCAAGATTGTGTATGGTTGATGTGAAAGAGGACAACGACCATTCCTGCCTTGATCCAAATTTTGATTCAAGCTTGGTTCCTGGGAACTGCATGGGCCAGCTCTGCTATTGCATCTCCCTCTTTCTCTGTCATGTCATGTCATGTCATGTCATGTCATGTCATGTCATGTCATGCCTGCCATCCATCCATCCATCCATCCATCCATCCATCCATCCATCCATCCATCCATGGCAGTGTTTCTCAACCTTGGCCACTTTAAGCTGTGTGGACTTCAACTCCCAGAATTCCCCAGCCAGCCATGCTTCACAGAATCCAGAACAAAACAATTCCAGCTAAAATCAAAGTCAGACCATTAATTAGCAACCAGGGACTCACGTTTCTCACACTCCTCCTGGGAACTCTTGATTATCACGGCCCAAATGCACAAAGAAATAGCCATGTTTTTAGTACCTTTCTAAAGGTCTGCAGGGTTGGAGGTAGCCATCTGCTTTCTCCCAGGATTTAACTTTCCAATTTAGCCTGCAGCTCTGGAGTTGTTGAGGTCTCCCGCCTGAAGATGAATCAGGCCTATCTCTGCTTAGCTTCCCACGCCAGAAGCTAAGGTCAAGCCAGGTGCTGCCACCACATCCCCCATAAAGGGAAACATTGGAGAATATTTCTAGAAACCCAGGATCAGATGGAGCAGACAACCTTGGTCGAGTTGGAACGGTCCAACTTATTTTCTCCAAGGGTGACCTTGGTTTTTTTCACCAGTGAGATGTTCCGAGAGGAAGCGGTTGGCTCCAGGTCTTGTTTTTGAAAAGGAAAATACTGCCTTTACCCTTGAAACAGCTGCCAAGCCTGACCACGCTGTATTTTGTCTGATCACCCAAACCTCGACTAGCAGCTATGCTCAGGTTTCTCACGCCCAAACCCCCTTATACAGAAGGCTCTCTCCCTTGTTCTCAATGGCTTCCCACCCAGAGCACCGGAGAATCTTCTTACAATAAAGTGAAGCTCTTCTGAGAGAGCTGCATTTAAAGTGATGAGTGCAAAATGTGTTTGGTTTTGAGGTGCACATGCTCGGACAGGCAAAACCCAGAAGACAGTTAACATCTAGTGGTCGTATCATGAATTACATGAATTTTCCGGTTCAGGAAAAGATTTTCCTACTCTGATTCTTTCAGGAAGTCTGAACTTCCGTCCCAATGATCCCCAGCCCTCATGGCTACATGGAAATTCCTGGGGCACCTTTGAGGAATGAAGACGTGCAAAAAGAAACATTTTTCCTTCTTGCAAAGAAGCATTTCCCCCCGTCTTTCTTTTCCTGCATTTCCTCCAGCAAACATGTCCATTTTGATTAATTTTTCTTCCCAGAAGAGAATGCCACAATAGAGGGAGAGTGAGTAATAATTTAATCAAAAGGAGGGGGGGGAAGATGGCTAACATTCTATGAAAAACAAAACGTTCACACCCAAAAGGTTTTCCACATAATTTTTCTTCTTTGCTGACGGAAACAAATCTCAAAGGTTTAAAAAACAAAACAGAGCAAAACAAGGCATGTCACAGCTCTGTAAAGAGGAGGTGGGTTTCCCCAATTTTGGTCACTCTTTCATCCAAGTCCTGGCAGCTCCAAGCAAACCCGTCCTCTCCACGACACGGGAACCTTTGCGCAAGCTGTCGCAAGTGAGAAATGGTACAACAGGTTAGGCAACACCTCAAGAGAGGAGGAGGAGGAGGAGGAAGAGCTGAGCCAAGGGGACAAACAATGATACAGGAACATGATTCAGTCTAAACCTTGAACCGCAACTTAAGGAGAACAACTCGGGCCTTAACTGACGTGCTAGAAATTAGCTCTCTCTGTGAATGTATCCCTGAGAAGTCACCCCAACATTCAGGCTTCACCCCTTTAACCTCCTAGAGATGCTGTTAGCGGCAGTTGCAACTGATGATGGACGGGAAAACGCCAGCATGACAATATGCGAAATGTAGGGATAAACTTCCTGACAGAGAAGGAGAGCCTGAGGTAAGGTCGATCTCAACAGGAGCTCGTTCCACTCTGAAGAACGGAGGAGAAAAAAGGCAAAACAGGACAGACCAAGAATGCCAACAGCTTCTGAGAAGAGCCTTAGCCAGAAGGCTACAAGCCTGGGAAGGACTGAAGTGAGACATAGATTTATACAGCTTGGACAAAAAGAACAGGAGGAGGAACACGCTTTCTGGTTAAGAACTTAACACTTGTTAAACTCAACATGCTAGCCAGGTTATGACGTCATAGGAAGCCAAGGGGATTTGGCTCAACAAACCGTGATGCTGGTGCAAGCAGCCCGTTTCCTCTGCTCTCCAAACAAGCAAATAAAGCAGGACGGATTTTCACATCAAGTCCAGGCACGTACCCAAACAATCCAGCCTTGGAAGCTGGCTTAAACTGGGATCCAAGCAGCGTGGGAGGAGTTCTCTGCTTAGGGCTGGGCAGGGGTCTAAATTCAAAAATGGAGAAGGTGAACCGGAGGGATATGCGGGGGAACCCTCCTCCCAGCAACTCTGAGCTCGCACAGCAGTCCCAAGGAAAAAGAGGCATTTAAGAAACTGCCAATGTGTGCCCCCACGGGAGCTCCAAGTCATCTTTTGCCCTCCGAATTCAGATTGCTTCACCACCCTGTTACGTGCCATCAATATGCAACACACTATGGTCTATTAAGCCAGGATTCCTGGCTTCACACAGCTTCTAAAGGTGGCCCCAAAAGACAAATAAAGGTTTCTCTCCCTTATCTCTCCTTTGGGCTCAAAGCCTTATCTTCATGGTTGAGGTGGCTTGGAAAAACAAGGTCTCGCACCCTTTTAGAAGAGAAAAATACAACAATCCCACAAACGAGGCAGAATCAGGAGTTTTAATTACCAAAATGGTCTGAGGAGCTGAGGAGAAAGCAAAATGATACAAACCAGAGAAAAGAGGCAGAGGAAATGGATCATGAAGGAGAGGCGGAGGCGAGAAAGACCCAAAGAAGAACGCTTGATCTTTAGTAAAAGTAGTGTGTCAAATTCACCAGGCACGCCTGTAAGCCGTGCACAAAAAGCCACTTGGATTTCTTTTTTTTTGTCCAGGCAGAAGAAGCTAAAGCGTCTGAACCCAACATCGCTGCTACTCTTTCCCCTCTCCAATGCCCTGTGCGAGGTCCACCAATTTGTTTCTTTAGAAAAACCTGCTATAAAATCAATCTGCTCGCCTATGTCTGCTTGGCACAAGAAGGCATGCAAAGCTAGAAGGTGCTGAATAAATAGCCGGTTTTGGCAACAACAAAAATATACGGGTTATTTCCTGACGGCTAAAAGAGCGGAACGTAAAAGCCACCAAAGTGAAATCTGGATGTGTTCCCACCCCACGTGGCATGGAATCGGCACTACAACTATAATGGTGTTTGTGTGTGGGTGTGTGTTTTGCTTTGAGACTATTTTAGAGAGTCTGTCTTCTTCAACTGTCACACTCTTGGTTCAGGCCGAAGTCCATAGCAGCGTTGATACTAGTCCCCCAGAAGTATCAGGCCAGTGTTCTCAGCTTCAGGAGTGAAGTTCACAGGTTGAAGTTCAATCAGTCCGAAGGATCATCGGAGGGTGTTCGCTGTCCTCATCGAGTCGCAGAGCGCCGATGTCATCTTCCAGGCAAACGCCACCAACTGCCCCCAGATCCTCATTGTAGACTGAAGGAATATGAAAAAGGGATACCATTCAGAAGAAAAATGTAGCTGTCTCAGTTCAACTCTAAAGGATCCATGTCCCAAGATCTCTTGAGTTCCTAGGGATATCTTTTGCAGCCCTCAAGGGGAAAACTCCTCCTTAAATCATTGTTGGAAGTCCTACCCCTTGTCTATGACTCTCTCAACAAGGGAAGCAGATCAAGAGAAGATAACAAGGACAGCCTTCCACCAAAGAGCAGGAAAGACAATCTCTTGAGTCATTGACCTTGACCATCAGACCAGAAACAGACAAGGGGCAGAAAGAGGACCAATGGAATCCTGTTTTCTATTGTTTTGCCAAAGCAATGTTGATGTAGTCAATGCTTCCATTTTAATGTTGACTGGAAAGGTGGCAGTGAAAATATGTGCCATTCACCCAAGGGGCTTATTAAGTTACATCGGTGTTTCTCAACCTTGACAACTTTTAAGATGCATGGACTTCAACTCCCAGAATCCCCCAGCCAGCACGCTGGCTGGGGAATTCTGAGAGGTGAAGTCCACGCATCTTAAAGCTGCCAAGGTTGAGAAACACTGAGTTACATGGATGGAGTCTCCCTAACAGTAATTCCTACAAACTTCTAAGTCTACAGTGGCGTGACTGGAAGGCCTCCTGGGCTTGGTTCTTACCATGTCTTGTAGGTGAAGAAGGCATATAAGTAGCACCTTTAGTCACAGCGGCACTGTAAGTCTGTGCTACTAATGGTCTGTCGTGGGAGGCAGATTCTAGAATTTCATTGGCTGGCTCCATGCTGCCATCCAACCTATGGGAACAGACAGGGATAACAAAGCATGCTGGGGTTGCGTTAATAGCACAGCTGGCTGTTCAGCAGGAAAACTCAGTGATGGTTGCAGGAACCAGCTTTATTTCCAATCAAAAAGATTCCTCCCCCAAGAGAGCCCAATTTTAATTATGATTTTTTTGGAACACTGGTTTTCAAACATGACTGAATACTTCAAGAAAACATATGCTCAGATCTTATTCTTCACCGTCACTGAAGACCAATTCAACAGGCATGTGTTGCAAAGCCTTGTGCCACCCCATCCTCCACCCTCTTTCATGCCTGGAAGCCTGTATTGTATGTTTAGGACCAATGCAAAACCCTCAAAGAAGAGTTTTGTGCAAAGGGGGAAGAGACAGCGAGGGAGAGGACTCACTTGTGCTGTTTCATCAGTGTGCATTCACCCCCTTCCTGAGGGTCCAAATTGTACATGTAGAGATACCCGTCAGCAGCTGCTACCAAAAGTCGGGGAATTTTCTGAATTCTGTAAGGAATCAAAGATGCATCTGGTTTAAACAAAAAGGCCTATCTTTTCACATGTCCTGAAGCATGGGATTTTAAAAACAGCCTAGTCCCTTCATCCCAACTGTTCATTCTGCTGGGCCAACTCTGCCATCTCAACACAGAGAACTACCAAAGATCAACGATCAGGCATCTTTTAGTCCAGCAGTGTTTGCAATATGGAATCGGAATGATGCCTCTCGGAAGCTTACTAGCAAGGCATGGAAGTTGTCTCCAAGTTCTTTTACATCTATAGGTAGAGGGGGATCTGCAGAGCAACCTTTTTTAAGTCTCACAATTGCACCAGGAGAAGGAGCCTCAAGGCTGTATTTTGAAGGCTATCCATTTAATTTTGACCAACGCAGCAGAGTTACAAAACTGGAGTCATTGAGGTGCATCATAACCCTCCATCTCCAAGTAGAAGGTATTTGTAGCTGAAGAGCTCTCGTCCCACGCCGCTACTCACGTGGCCAATGTGCAGATGTTTCTGTGCCCACAGAAAGGGAGACGGACAGTTGCAAAGGCTCGGCCTTGGTTGAACATTTCGGTCACCTGGGCAGGAAGGTAGTTTGGGAAAGTCCTAATGGTCTCCACAAAATACCCTGTCCAGGTTGTGGGTTCCTCTTGAGGTCTGGAAGTGAGGAAGGAGGGAAGAAAGAGGATCTTCAAAATTGTTCCCGAGTTTTCATAAACATGACTGTCCTCTTCAAGAAGCTGGGGATGTCTCTTTTTTTTTAAATATTTCTATACGCACATGCACATACATTAAAAGAGGACTGGCCATCTTGTGAGGCACTGCAGGAAACCACAATCTGATCCAAAATAATGCATAGGTAGCACAGGGACACAAGCAACACCCCTCTGCCCCCAAACGTTTCTTTCTCTTGTAAGAGACCCTGCAGGTTACTCCTGATGATGAGGCCAGTCAGTCCCAAAGCCTTCCGTTCCATCGCCCCATTTTTAAGCAAATACAGAAATTGCCCTGACCTCCGAAAACTTACTTCTCTTTCACAGTCTCCAATTTGAAAATATGCACTGTCTCTGTGTTACTGGAAGCAGACAGGAACATGCCATCCATGCTAAAGGCCAAGGAAGAGATGCTGACGCATCTGGAGGAAGGAAGAAAACAGCCACGGTGAAGAAAGAGGCAATGGGCTGTTGCATGCAGCTCCTCACTGTTCACTGTCTCTTAAGCTGGAATCCACCTCCTTGCCTGCCCTATAGTGGCCATAAGATGCTGGCAAAGCCTCTGGAAGGGAGAAAGGGCCTCCCCATAATCAGAAACCTAGTAAAAGTCTGTCCTTGCTGGGCAAAGAGCCTCAAAACCCAGAAAATGCTTTTGAGAGAAAGGAGGAAGAATGACCCTCCTTTTCCAGCAAGAACTCACAGATTAGGTTGAGGAAGAAGGCAACCCCCTGCCTTCAAGACTGGATGGGACTCCAGTTGCCATGGGCCATGTTGCCTTAAGCACTCCTATTTTAATTGCTGCCTTGAGGAATCTCAAGACTATTCATCTAACAGGAGTTTGTGGGTTAAGAATCTGCAAAAGGAGAACATCCCAATCCTGAACGGGCCAATCTGGGCATTCGGGCCATGGTGTAACATTGAGACGGATCAAAGCTGACCTTGAAACAGGACAAATGGGGCCACCCTAGAACAACCTGTTCTAGAATGAGGTCAGAAGTCCTCAGGGATGGAAGGAAGCCCCCCTTTTGGTGTTGAAACATTCTGAGACAGAACAGTTCATGTAGCCTTAAATCTCCCACAAGGACCATTTTCTGACTGCAGCCATTCATCACCTCTTCATGCCCCTTCGGAATTCAAACAGCTTCTGCCCCTCTGGAATGGAAAATACCCGGATCACCGTACCCTGTTGGGGAAAGAAGTCCACCTTTTAAAACCACCACCTCATCTTTTGAAAGTGACTTGTTTACTCTGCCTGTCTGGTCCAGTTTAATCTCTCTGGATAAACTCAAGCTCCAGCATTCCAAGAACGAAAGGAAAGTGTCTTATTCTATCCACATAATGGTATATCTTATAAGTCTTTTCCACGCCTCCCCCTCAAGTTCCCAGTCCCAGAGCCTGTAATCATCACCCACAAAAGCGAACTGGAACTGAATACACTCCTCCCACCAGACCACGCAAAAACACCACAACCCCAAACTCTGTCAATTCTGGAATTCTTTAGAGCGGAACATTGTGATAATTACTTGCATTTTGTCTAACATGAGCTTTTGACATCCTACAGGAGCTTTCAGGTTGCTAAAGAAAAAGGGCTTTTCATTTTCTTCCAGGGAGATGCCGCAGAATTTGAAGCTCACCTTTTCTGAGGCGGTGGCTAGTTTTGTACCGCTTGCGTCAAAAGCCAGCGCGGCCAAAGGACTGTCGTGAGCGGGGATCATGTTGGTAGCTCTCTGCAGAGAAGCCCGAGAACAGAACGCAAGACCTTAGTGCGGGATGGCTGGTCCTGCCCTCTCACCCCCCAAATCATTTTCTGAGTCAGAGCACGGTGGAAGCGTGCAGATCTTACCAGGTTGATGGTGTCAAAGACTTGCACTTCCCCGATGGTGGCACTTCCTGGATAGGCCAGGTAACAGTTATCATTGTTTATGGACAGGGCGCATAAACCTGAGAAAAACAGGGAGGAAAGGGCACGATCAGACCCTCCCATTTCCAAAACCATCATGAAAGAATCAATATTAATTAAAAAGTTAATATTTTCAACGCTTAATAGACTTTTGCTGACCAGGACTGAATGACGTGGTTTTAAGGATTTGTCTATAGATAAGAGATGGGACATGGGATGAAGAGGTTGTTGATTGTGTCTTAAGAGAAAGTGATAAGTTGTTAAAATGGTTTATTCTTGTTGAGATGAAGGGGAAAGCTATTTCTTTATATTTCCTTTTTGTTAATATTCTTTTCTTTCTTCTCTATTCTTTCTTTTGTATTATTCTTTTTTCTTTCCTTTTTTCTTTTCTGCACTTTTTATTTTTTCTTTCTATTCCTTTATTTTTTGTAGTTTGCATTAGGTTTTATCTGTACAACTGCAATACTTAATAAAATTATTTGAAAAAAAAAGTTAATATCTTCAAAAATCCCTGGGATTTTTTTTTCAGGCAATGGAGAAGATTCGGGCAACCACACTGTCTTCTATTTATTGTCCTATCGGAGATTTTACGATGTGTGTTAGAAAATGTCCCCGTCCTGATGGAAGGGCCGAGAAACAGCTTGGATAAATATTCCTTTGGAGGAGGAAACCGATGCAGCCTAATTTAAATGGGCAGAGAGGTCTGGGTAGACCAAGGCGAGTAATTCAGGTAATATCAGTTCCCTAATTTCAGTTCCAAATGCTTGCAGTAACAGAGGTAATGTTATCCAGATCTGGTTCTTGGCTTTTGAAAAACAAGATGAGGCACTAGTTCGAATGCAGGGCCAAGCAAACATGGAAGGGGGCTGTCTAAATCTGATTAGCCCTGCTTTTGGGCCTGAGGAGTCAAGAGAGTCAACGGTTGGGTGTGCATCACAACTTCAAAATCCAGGTGATGTCAGAAACATCGGATAAGCTCAGCTAACATCCCTGCACATGAACAAGCCCACCTCATTGTCTTGGATGTAACCAGCTAAAATGGGGAGTAGAAAGGTAGCAAAGTCAGAGGCGGAATAAGGAGAGGAAGGAGCATCTTTACCCGCAGGGTTGGGGGGCGTCTCCCTGATGGTGTGCAGCACCTTCATATCCCGTATATTATGTATGTACAGAGACTCTTCTAGGCATACGATCAATCTCTGGGGGAGGGAAATAAAAAGAGAAGAGGGAGAAGCACATAGAAAAACACCAACAGGAGATCACCTGAAAGCGCCCCTACTCACCTGCCTATTCAGCTTGACGGCCAAGATCGTGTTGGAATAGCTGTAGTTGCAGATCTCTGTCCCTTTCTTGAAGTGGCAGACTTTCAGCTTGCGAGGCGCTCTGAGGCTCACGATGGCTACCAAGCTGCTGGAGAAGAGCCGTTCCACGATGCACACGTCTTCTGTGTCAGCTGTGGGGTGGCCATGGAAAGGGAGCAGGGTGGCATGAAACAGAAACAGAAGAATCAGGGTTAACTGCAGATGCAGGAGAGGAAAGACCTCAAATGCAAGTCAGAATTAGCTTCCAATTCAGGACTACTGGAAGGTCCAGCAATTATTTGAGGGCAGGATTGAGCCTTGAGCTTTCTTCTACTACAAACCTCAAAATCTATCACCATAAAACTAAACTATTCCTTCTGGTACCCTGAAGCCTGAGCTAGGAAAGAACCATCTTCCCATCATTTTGTTTCCTCGATAAATCATAAGAAGCCAGTGGTTCTTGGAATAATCTCCTGTGGTGGAGAAAGTTCTCTGGAGGCTTCCAATGAGTTTTGCAGCAACAGAATTGATAAAAAGGTTTCCTTCCAAAAAAGGAGACTGCCCACTGCTTTTAAGTGCTAGAGATGTGCAGAGGTAAGCTCTGGAATCAAATCTGCAAACTGAACTGACTTCAGAGACTGGATTTGGACTGTACTGTTAAATCAGAGATTTCTAAACCAATCTGACAAAGCAACAGCTGTTTGTGAAGGCAGAAAAGTGCTTCCCCCCCACAAATCAACTTCCCAACACTGATCAACCCAACCATGTGTCTGAGACCCAACGTCAATGGATGATTCTAATAACACCTGATCAGTTAGACTGGATTGTCAGTTCCCAAATCCCAGGATCTCATACCCTACATCCTTCTGAACGTTCTGCTCCACAGGAAAGTGGCTTAGCAGAAGTCCCAGCAGAACAAGAATTCCCTGGAGGAAGGATATTTGAAAACCATGGACAAACTTGTAATGCTCACAGCCAGGGTCCTAGTGTGTAACATTGAAACTAGTTGATATGGGAATCCTGTGGGACTCATTCCCAAGGAAGCTGTCCAGGATGTCTCTGGAAGGCTGTCTATCCAGACCAGTGTTTCTCAAGCTTGGGAACTTTAAGAGGTGTGGACTTCAACTGTCAGAATTCCCCAGCCAGCTGGCTGGGGAATTCTGACAGTTGAAGTCCACACCTCTTAAAGTTCCCAAGCTTGAGAAACACTGGTCTAGAATATTGGGCATCTATAGCTCCTATTACTTTATTTTAAAAACAAGGGCCTGGGAACATGGGTCTAAGGGAGAGACCCTTTCAAACTGAACCAGAACATGGAGGCAGTCAATTAAGCTACCGCCAGCCAGAGACTGGCTCTCCCTTGTGGATCGATAGGTCGCCATTTCCTAGCACAGCGGGCTATAAATAGCCTGCAATATTTCACGGAGAAGAGCAAAGCTGTTAAGCGGGTGAAGGCAAAAGAACAAGAGGGGTAAGTCCTCCACTTGCTGCAGCTTTGAGAGCTGTAAATAAAAAGCAACTAAAAATTTGTGCCGCTAAACACATTTCAGGCAGCTATACCGAGACTTCCTGGCCGGAGCTATTAATATAAATCTAACATATCAAGTGGCACCACAGCCAGTATTGGCCAACTAGGAAAACTGCCAGGAAGTTAATATCTTTAGAGGGCCTGATTCATGAGCCCATCAAACCGGGAGACGTCGCTCTGTTCTCTGGGCTATTAGGAGAAGTTCCGGAAGTCTGAGGCGAGGCATGCGCTTCGCAAGAGCTGCACGTGACCCCAGGCCACGGGGAACTGCTGGGATGTAACAGAGGAGTTCCTCCTGCTGGAAACCGGAACTGGGGTGCTCCCCATAGCCCCAGTAACTGCCTGCTGGCCATTGCAGCAAGGAGATCATCTGCTCCATTCACCCCGCGTCTGGGAGCCGCAAACAAGGGCACCCACACACCTTTTGCTCTGTGACAAATCTGTCTCCCGTCAAAGAGGGGACAATAACGGATACACAGTGCCGTGGGCTGGCGAACAACCTTATTTGCTAGTTATAAATGCTTCCACGTTGCCCATTATTATTTCCTGCAGGGGAAATAGCGCTGCCCAAGGAGAAACTGTAATGGCCTTCATTCAAGCCACTTTAGCTGTTTCTTGAATTAACTCATTTTCTGCAACAGGACCTTCGGAGGAACCATAAGCTAGCCAAAGAGCTTGGGTTCATACGGCTCAGCAAGCCAGAAAAAAACTAACTGAGGTTAACACTAACCAAGGCTAGCATGTTGTGAAAAGGCAGGCATGAGGCCCTGAAGTGCCTTCATCAGGGGTGCGGTACAAACGCAGCTGGGGTGCGAAACGTGGAGCTAGCCTTGAATTTTTGTGGTCTAAAGGAGGCCAGTGTGAATCGACACCCACTCTCGGCAGCCATATTGGTATTTACAAATGGCAAAACGCCTCTGCCGGGAGAGAAAATGGGTCACATCCAGGCAGCAGCTTGTCTTCTGTAACAGCTGCCCTGCCAGATGCAGATGTTATGTAGCTTGTTCTGACGGCTAATGGAAGATCGCACGTGAAATCTGACGTGATGGTATTCAGGAACATGGAACTGGTCTCTATCTTTTTTCTTGTCAGGTGCATCTGGAAGAACTTGGGGATCAATAAAGCTTTTTTCTCTAAGTTACTAAAACAGGGTTTTCAGCAGAACCCTGCTTCTGCACCCAGGAGGTGCAGAACATCTGGGTCTTGCAGCACAGCTTTTACTGAAGACAGGCCACTGCCTAAGCCCAAGCTGTTTTCCCTCACAGCAAAAGCTCTTTGTCATCCTCAGATATCTTGGGGTACTACACAGAACAAGCGGATAAAGCTTTTCCAGGAATGATCTATAATATGGCCATACAAAGCTGCTTTTCAGTATGTCGATTTGGAGTCAATCAAGCCAAATTTCTACACCGAATCAACTTTCCGATCCAATCAGAAAGTTGAATTGTCAGATCAAGTGCTTCAAATGGATTATATTTTGGGAGCTGGCCCACATACCCCTAATCCAGTGCTTCTCAACTTCAGCAACTTTTAAGATGTGTGGACTTCAATTCCCAGAATTCCCCAGCCAGCATGCTGGCTGGGGAATT